ATTTCATATAAAATAGATTGTAGATCAACTTTGTGTATATGATATCATATGATTTACATATAAACATCATATGATTTGACCAATCAGCATTAGCAATTCTTTGTACTACCTAGGAAAAACATATATCGACCTAGGAAAATTTAATTCTATGTGAAGTTGATTTTTTTTTAAAAGCAATGCATATTGCGCAACTTCAATATCATAAATGAACGGTTTAGATTACAAATTGGTTAAAATATTAAGAAGTTTTATTAGAAGCATCTAATATACCACGTAGATCATATGAAAAATGATCTACATACACCCTACCCAACCCTTAAGTCGACTAGGCCTTAGTCGACTAATATTTAGTTAATTCTTATCACTAGGGTAGATCCCTAAAAATTAGTCAATCTTCCATCGTTGATAATTATGAATCTTCCATCGTTAATAATTCTGTAGATCATTTGGCGAGATCTAGAACAAAACAACTTTAATTGTGATCAACTGATTAGCAATTTTGACCAGAATTATAAACGATGGGTTCTATCAATCAAGTGACACTTTCGGGTTGATCTGGAACGATCAAATTTACATTTTCCGATTGGCCAATTCAAGCCTCACTATAAAGCTAACCAGAATTATACCAGTTGGCCTGAATTATAAAAATTACACTACGCAGCATCTCAAAAATACTGCGCAGCCGGTTTATTATATTACTTTGTAAAATATAGAGAATATATAGTATGTAATATGTATCCCTAAAACTAGTAATTGTATCAACCTTTAAAGCCCACTAATCAACATATTTCACTTATTACCTACATTACCATTTCCTCAACAAATCCCTTTCACTGTCAAAACCCAAAAAAAGCTTTAGTTCTTTTAATGCTGTGTCACTTCGATTACAACCCACACGTGCTTCCAGGAACACTTATGAGCCCATCACAACGTACGTAATATACTGATGATTTTATAGTAGTCGTTGTTGGTACAACCATTCTTTTCTAAATCCCACTCAACTGCTGGCTTTATTTTCCACTTTTCTGCCAGGTCTTCATGCAACATTTCGAAAAACCAACACATAATTTCATTAAAATCAGTTACATAATGAGGTTCAAATTTCCAATTTTTGAAGTCAGTGGATTTTGCAGCACCCCATTTTTTTATATTATTGTTATAATGCATATCTGTTTCATCCGAACGGTTATGGCATGCTGACGCTTGCAATTCCTTCGTTCTTATATTGTTTGTCCCCTTAAGACCTGCCGGCTGATGGCTAGAATGATGTATTTTGGTTTCACCACTATCATTATCATGGCCTCTTTCTCCCCAACACAAAGCACCACACCAGAAACATGGAACTGTGCATCCAAGTCTTTTCTTAATCAATTCATCATCAGATAAATTTGGTAGTGATTCTTCTTCAAGTTGAAAATGACCATTCCATTTGACATCAAGCTCTTTCATAATAGCTTCATGAAATAAGTCAAAATTTTCAGCAATTGAGTCATCTTTAATACCCAATTGGTAGTCGATACCATCAACTTGTGTCATATAATTATTTACAAACTTTTTGATATCTTCATAATTTTTACAATTACGAATTTCCTGACGAACACCATCAAATTCTATATTAAAAATTTCTTTATATTTTTGTCCTTTCTCTTTTATTGTATAATTATTAACACTAATGTTATACCACTCTTCAATACTTTCTTGAGGTTTTAAAAAGTGCTGTACTGCATTATCTTTGTCACCATTATGAACTTGTTCAGCAAGTTCAATAAAATATTTAAGTCTAATTGTTTCAGAATTTTTTATCCAAGGGATGCTAAGTATATCATCTCTTCGATCCCGGTATTCTGCATCTATCGCTTTTTGATGAACAGCTCTTGACAAATAAGCCCCAGTCAAATGACCTTTATACATATGTGAATGACCATATTGAAGACGAAGCTTGATAATTTCTACATATTCATCTTTCCTTTGATCAAGCACGCTAAGTGGTGTATTATCTTGATCCCACGTGTATTGAATTTCTACCATCTTCTCTCTAAAATTTAATAACATGTACACGTGAACATTCATTTCAAAATTAGAATTAAATTTTACATTAAGATTAGTTGAAAAATTGTTCAATTTTTTTTCAGTTTTGTCTTTGAGATCACGCACAAGTTTAGGATTAAACTTTTTAATATTACGTAAAATTTGTTCTACCACAAGATTAATTTCTTTTTTAAGTTCCATAAGTTTATCATTAGAAAAGCCTGCCAAACCGACATTACGTATTGCATCAATTTTAGATAACTCTGGAATAATTCTATACTTGTAACTTTTAAAAAAGTTAGTTGATGACCACATAGTTCCATATTCCTCTTTTACTATATTATCTATCTCTTCATTTATAAAGTCTTCATTTTCTGCTGATACTCTGTCACGTAATAATTTCCATATTTTATTTGCTGCTTCCTCAAATTTCTTTTCATCAGGCGATTTCTTCCATGCTTTTAAGACCTTTTCTAATACTCTGTCAATAAATATAGAAAATCTATTTCGCATTAAAATGCCCTCAAGCATATTTTCAAGCTTTGTGGTTATAAATTCACGGCGAGAGACAATGTAATTATTTATTGTTTGATTAGCCTCTTCTTTACCTTCTTTACACTTCTCGTCATCTTTTTTTTCAATATATTTATCTAATTTATCTCTCTCTTTATTAGCTTTTTTACATTCTTCACAATCTGCCTGATTTTTAAACTCTAGAATATTGTTTAAAGTTTTAATCAATTTTTCACATTTAGAATTAATTGAATTAACTGAATTCACGCTTGAATCTTTATTTGAAAGCCATTTATAAACAATAGATCTAATTTTTGTTTCGGTAAATTCTTTATGTTTTAAAAATGCCATGTCGATAGTTCCTTTTAGTTTTGCAATTTGTTTTCCAAACTCAATAAAATCATATGTTTCTTCTATTTTTTCGAACGAGGAATTTTCACGTGATGCTGCATCCCAATAACTTTTAATTAGTAAAAACCAATCCGAAAATTTCTTTTTGCTTTGTGAATTTTTGCAGTTATCAATTATAGTATTGTAGAAATCAACTACATCCTTATGATATTGTTTCGATGGTGGAGAATAAGCAGCTATACCATCTTTAAATGGTGCAAATAGTTTGACAAGTTTTTTATCATTCATCTTACTAAGACGTTCAAAGTTGCGTGCTCCTGTCTTGTTATTTCCTTTTTTGGCTATTTCTAAAACTCCTTGAAGAATTTCATGAAGTTTCTGTTCTAGATCTATTGACTTTATCGCATTATTGTCCGTAACATGTTGCACCATAAGTATGTCAGATGACGTGTCAAGATGTATTAATATCTTAGTAACTATTTGCAAGATTTTAGTCAATTCTCTAGTCGATTCTCCGAGGATATTTATAATTGTCAAATTGCTTATTCTCATTGCAAACTTTGCTAACTTTTGATCCTTTTTTTCTGATTCTGGTTCATCTATATTTTCTGGTGCACAAAGTCCCTCAGTATCAATCAAGATAAAAGCATCAACACCAAGTTGATTAGATAATTCTTTCTCCAAAAATAAGAATTGCATAATAATCCCTTTAGTACAACGTCCAGCTGAAACAGCAAATTTACATCCAAAAAGTGCATTTAAAAGAGTAGATTTTCCAGAAGATTGTAATCCAAGTATACTGATCACAAAAATCCTAAGATTAGGAAATTTTTTATCAATAGAATTACAAACGGCTAAGAACCAAGCTTCAGATATAGTTTCAGAATCACCATCAAGCAACTCGATAATGTGACCACTAATTAAAAGCTCTGCATAATATTCCGGTAATTTTGAAATATTTTCTGTGACTAGACCATTGTCAGAAATAATTTTTTTTGGATCAGAAATAAAAATTTTATACATATGCCCTAATTCACGAAAGAAATGTTCGATGCCCAAGCTTGTATTATCAGCTTCTTCCCAAAGCATTGCAATTTCTTCACGAATTTCTTGATCATTGTACACAATGTTTGCATTATTTAATTCTTTCCTTTTCGATATAGCGTCATTCCAGGGTTTAGAAGACTCTACTATAGATAGCCTGGATATTTCTTTTTCAAGATGCGCCAGAGCTCTTCTCCTTACTCTAATTGGTAAAATTATAATAGAACTGAATAATCGCATTAGTTCTTGTAACTCTGGTGTGTGTTCCCAAAATTGTATACAATCGTAACCACTTTGCATTTTTTGAAGTTGCATAATCTCTAATCTAATATGACGGCAAGTTTTTTGCTTAACAAAATTTATAATTTCCTGAGATTTAACACACTCTATTTTTTCAGCAAATTGAAGTGTTTCACCTATTTCTAACGTACTAATTGAAAATTTGCCGGGATCAACAAAATCAGGATCTAAGAAATCTTTAAACATTTTACAAGCTTCTTTTATTGTTTCATAACTCATTAAAGAATTTGTATTAGTTGTATAACTATCCTCTTCACCTACATTGTTTTCAGGATTTACATAGTTGAATATAACCTTTTTTGATCCAATTAAATTTCTAAATTCAACTATTTGATTTTCGTCATGTCCAGGCATTAAGAAAACCAAGAAACAAGAAGCCAATTGCTTTAGAAATTCTATTTGATCAGGATAATCTAAAGCATCACCATGTAAATTAGCAAGCAATATAATTTCATTTCTCCCTTCTTCGTAATAACTTTTAAAAACATTATTATATAGATCAGCACCACAAGTCTCTTTTGTCAGCCAAACAAACTCAACACTTCCACTAATCATATGTGGAATTCCATAATCGGCTCTTGGCTCGGAATGTGATGTGAACATGAAGTTTGAAACCATCAACTGATTAAGTATGGTACTTTTTCCTTGAGGATTCATTCCAATCCGAACTGCAACAATTAATTTAAAAGAATCTTCAAAAAGATGATTTTCTAGAATTGATCCATTGCTTGTATGCCATTTGATAGCTGATCCGGCAAATAAAGGAAGCATTACTTTAAACTTTTCTGCGTTATCTAAATTGGGCATTAATAAAGGAAGTGCAATTGGAAATTGAGATATAGTTTGGAAAATATCTTGAACAACAGTAGATTCAGCAGAGGCAAATAAAGAAGCAATGCAATCAAATCTAGATAATCTGTTTTTTTTAATTAACATTTTGCTTTCATCCTTTGATTCATCATCGGAAGATTCATCGTCATCATCATTGACTAAATTTGCAAAGTTTTCTGCTTTAAGAATATCAACTCCCCACATTTTAACTTTTTGTCGAATATAGGGAAGAACTGCAGCCACATTTCCATAAATTTTATAAGCTGATAATTTTGGTTGAGGGATCAGTTTCCTAAGCATAAAATAATGCTGGGGTTCGATTAAAGGTAATTCTTCACCTAAAATTGAGTACCATTTTTTATCTATTTTTAAAGCTTTATTTTCTTTTGGTGGAAATGGTGGAAATGGTGGGATTTGAGATGGAATATTTGGTTGAAATGTTGATTGTAATTTCTTATGTGCTTGATGATTTCCACCATATGCAGATTTCTGAAGCCACTTGAATGCATTTTTCCTATCTTTGTTAACTCCAATTCCGTCTAGATAATAAACTCCAAGTTGATATTGTCCATTTATATTTCCATTTTGAGCAGATTTTTTGTACCATTGAAATGCTTTCGCATCATCTTTTCTGACACAAATTCCGTTTTGATAACAAAATCCAAGATTATACTGTCCGTTTATACTTCCACCTTGCGCGGATTTTTTGTACCATTGAAATGCTTTCGAATCATCTTTTTCAACTCCAATTCCTTTTTGATAGCAGGCTCCAAGATTGCACTGTCCATTTATATCTCCGCTTTGCACAGATTTTTCGTACGACCGAAATGCTTTCACATCATCTTTTTCGACTCCAATTCCGTTCTGATAGCAAAGACCAAGATTATTTTGCCCTAGAGAATTTCCACCTAGTGCAGATTTCTCAGCCCAGTAGAAAGCCTTTTCATTATTTTTATCAACACCGATTCCATATAAATAGCATGATGCAATCAATCCTTGTGCTAAATGGTTTTCATTATTAGCAGATTCCTGGAGAAATTGGAATGTATCTTCGTTTATATCACATGCACCTTCCTGAAACCAGTTAGCTAGAATAACTTGTGCTGAACGATTCCGATCTTCAGCAGATTTCATATACCATTGTAACGATTCCAATTGGTTTTTTTGAGTTCCAATTCCATCACGATAACAATGTCCAAGATTACATTGTCCTAGATGGTTTCCGCCTTCTGCAGATTTTTTAAACCACTCAAATGCCTTTTGCAAATCTTTCTTTGTACCTATTTCATCTTTGTAGCATATTCCAAGATTATTTTGATCCCAATGATTTCCATTTTGAGCGAATTTCGAGTGTAAAGGAAATTTTGAATTCTGAAATTGGTTCTAAAAAAATTGATTACAAATCGGCATTATAAAAATTGTCAAAAATAACTATATTAAAATACAACAGTATAAAGTATACATACTTTTTCTATCATTGGAGTTTATAAATAAAAATGAAGGATTAAGTATTAATGTAAATTTAAAAATATAAACAAAACAATTAATATATACATACGGATTGAAATTGGCTCATACTCCCATACTACTACCCGATTGCTACCGTAATGTTTGGCTTTCCTACAAGCTTCTTCGGCGTGATTTAATAAGTCTTTAGAACTTTCTACTAAGGAGTTCACTCCAGAAACACCAATGCTTAGCGTAATTGGCGGTAGTTTTTTTTCTTTGAAAATAAACGGATTGGTTTCAACAGCAGATTGAATTTCTTTAGCAACTTCATCAGCTGATTCTATATTTGTATCGATGAGAAGAATAGTAAACTCATCTTCATTATATCTAGCAAAAATATTTTTATCACGAACATATTTATTTTGAATCAACTTTACTAATTCTATTAAAACGTAGTCACCAGCCTCATGACTATATTGTTCATTGATTTCTCTCAAGTTATCCAAGTTATAAAACAATAAACTCAAATTTTGGCTATTTTTAAATTCATTTTCCAAGCTTTTCCGAAAATAAGCATTATTATAAATCATTAAAAGTGGGTCAATGTAGCTCTTATATTCTCCAGCAGGTAGATATTGAAAAGTACTATGCCCTATTTTAATTATGTCGTTTCTTTTTAATGTATATGAAGCACGAAATTTAAGTTGTTTTCCATTAACCAAAATTTCTGATTTAAAACCAACGCCGCTGATATCAACTTTTCCTTTGTAATTTTTAATTTTTGCATGCTTCTTATTAATTTCTTTGTCATTTATAATAATGTGATTTGAATCTTTTCTTCCTACAAGTATTTCACCTTCGGGAAGGAAAAAGTATTGGTTTCGAGGTGAGCTTTCAATAACTTTTAAGCAAGCTTCCTCTTTTGTTATAAAATTATTTTTTTTATATGAAATTTTAATCTCCGTTACAAGTTTGTCCATGTTTTTGGAAGAGAATCTGCATGTATATGCAATTTATTGAAATTTTGCACGGTGCAATTAATTTAAAATCTTCAATCTCTTTATATAAAATATCTCCACCTACACATTATTTTGTGCACGATTTAGATAAAGACTAATTGTGCAACATAGGAATTTCCATTAATCATAAAAATGCGTATTATTTTGGGATGTCTTCAAAGGCATGCACGTTACTTTAAGTTGTACATTTTTTCGAAATAAAGTTTGAGTTATTATGCGGAAATACGTACAAACTACATTTGTTATTTTCATATGAATAGTTGTTATTAAATGTGTTGCAAGAAATCTATAAAATCATAATTACACCTTATAGAGGCAAAATGCGTATAAATAGTGATTCAAATATTTGCCAATGTTATTAAAGTCGATATGGGTGACTATTTTTGAACCCAGACCAAAATAATATAAATATAAAATCGGTCCGGGTTCAAAATAATTACCCATATGGAGTCGATAAGTTTAATATTTGAATTTACTATGTAACTTGCAACTTTATTATATCATACGTTACATTGCAGACAGGGGAATCTAAAAACCACAATTTCTATAGCGATAGAGTTAATGTAATGTATTAATCATGTATGTAGTACGTACGTAGTACATTAAATTAAAATTATCAACTTTAACAAGGTATCGACGTACGTACGTACGTACACCATTTATTGATGTTAACTAATTTAGAAAATATTTGTTTTGATGTTTATACAGTCTATTGATATTCTAGATTTCTTAACTATTGTCTTGGCGTATCGTATCTATACAAACAAAGCTCAACAAACGTTCTGATTGGCCAAATAGGAGGGAAACAATGATCCAGAGATAAGGCTCGGTGGAGAATAAACATATAATATTATAAATTTTGTCCACAAACCCTTAAACAAATAATAAATAAATTAAAAACTATGTTGGAACTAAGTTTGTCATTAAGTAAATCTACTTTTTTGTACTAAATAAAGTTGTTCTCCGTATCAAGATGATCCTAACGATAATGAGATCATAAAATACAGCCCAATAGATTTCTCAGAAAGTTTTAAACCTGTTATACAATTTGCAAAATCGTGCAATAATTATTTTTAAACTTTGTTGAGCCATTCTGAAAGTCTTATTGGACCATTTTTGATGAACTTATCACCACTAGAATTGTAGAACAACTTAGAGTTAAAAAGTAGATTTGCATAATATAAATCTAGTTTTGATTTAATTGATTTAATTTTTTAATTTCTTATTATTATCGACTAATAGATGCCACGTAACTGGCTTTGCTGATGATAGACTTATATAAAATTTAAAATTGTTTTTTAAATTATCTATTTTTGGCTCTTTTTTTTAGATTTAGAGACAAATTTGTTAATAAGGATTGAAACCGCCTAAAATTTACTTAATCGTTTATTGTATTAACCATTTAATTCGGCCGGTATTTAAGCATAATTCCTCCCTGCACTACGGTCAATGTTTATGCGGTTAAACAGTTCAATCCTTATTTGTTAAAAAGAGTTATATGGGGACCCCCACAGCGGGCAGTTTTAAAACTTGATCTTTAAATAAGTATATCTCTTGATCTAGTAATCAAAATTAAATGATTCTTATATTATTAGATTCATCTTACTGAAATGAGTCTAATGATATAAAAATCGAGATATACTTATTTAAAGATCAAATTTTAAAACCGCCCACTGCCTTGTTTTGCTGTGGGGTTCCCATATGTAGATTTTAATAGGTTTACATTTTTAAATCAAGACCCCAAACTTTAGATCAGCAAGTATAAGCTATATACAGTATTATTAAATTGAGAACCTAAATTAAAGCTTGAACCTAGATCAAATTATTCAGATGAGCTAACTGGGTACGTACTTGGATTATCTGGATCAAAGCTAATACAGTATAACCATCAGAAGAATCAAATTATTCAGATGAGCTAACTGGGTACGTACTTGGATTAACTGGATCAAGCTAATACAGTATAACCATCAGAAGAATCATTTTTTTTATATTAAATAGTGCCATAAAATGATGGGTTTTTATCGCAATATCGCAACATGTCTTTAAATTTTTATTAAGAATAAGTAGCTAAATATAACATTAAACTTTGCATATAATTAAAATCGTCACCTTTACAAAACAATTATTTACTTTTAAGCTGTTAAATAATCTAAGTGCGACGAATTGTACAAAATTTTGGATCTTCCAGATAGCACAATAAAATGTCGAAAGTCCATTTTTATAATTTTAATATTTTTTAAAATTCATTGTGCCAAAAATAGTGGATATTTGATTTCATACTGTTAAACATATCGGCTGATTTTGATAAGGAAATCCAATCTCCCAAGTAACGCACCTCATTAGACATATGAAATTATATATAATTAACGCACCCCAACCTGAGGAGATTGGATTTCCTTATCCAAATCAGCCGATATGAACTTTCAAAACTGATATACATGGTGGACAGGGATGATGCTGAAATCTGATGATATTGAAATTTTGACTTATTTTAATATGAAATTTTAAAAATTTTTTGTACCGTTTATTTTCACCTTTTTTTTAGAGTTAGGTTAAGGTTTAAGGTTAGTGTTTATATAAAAGAGTATAGGTGGATTTTAGTAAGGTTTATTTTTTTAAATCAAGACCGCAGAATTTAGTATCATTCGATTTCAGCATCATCCCCGACAAGTATTAAGGGGCTGACTAAGTTCGAAAATCTTATAATCTATTAAATTATATAGTCATTTAACAATAAATACTGTTGAGCCTCTCAAAACCGATATGCTTATGTACAATATTGAATTAAAGTTTTTTAACGATGAAATAATATTAAAAAGAAAAAATCTCAACAGTTTAACAATAAATTTATATAAATATTTAGATAGGTTTATTTTACATAAATATTATCAATCCATAGATAAACGCTACTAAAAAATAAAACAAAAAAAAGACAAAAAAAAAAACAAGATTTTAGACTTCGAATTTTTAAGGCTGAATTTATTTACTTCGAAATTCCAAAAGTCGGAAAGCTAGTTTTCTTTAATGGTACTTGAATACAAATAAAGGTTACCACTTTGTTTATTGCTTTTGTACAGTACATTTGTAAATAAGCCACATGCTGTGCTTAATAGCTACATGCAAAATATTTTGATTTACGAACATGGCTCAGTCTTTTCTAAAGTTTTAGAGGTTTCGCTAGAGTTTCGCCGTTTCGCCGTTTCGCCAGAGTTTCGCCTGGTTTCGTCTTTCGCCATTTGCCAAAAATAGTTTCCCTGCCAACACTAGCAAGGACCATTTAGAATGTTTTTAGGCTCCACGGCTGCAATAGCAGTGCAAGGACCATTTAGGATGTAATCGGGCTCCGTGGCTGTTATAACAGTGCAAGGACCCTATAGACTCCGTGGCTGCAGTAGCAGTGCAGGGACCTTTATGGCATGGGCTGGCTTTGCGTTACAATGCAGTGCAAGGACCGCTAAGAAGTGATTGGGATCTAGTGACTGCCATGGCAATGCTAAACCCCTTATAAGATAAATATACAACTGATTCTTTTTTGTCTATGTTGTTTTCTTGAAGCCTTTCTCATTTAGGATATTAGTGTTGTTAGATATGGTTCTCGAGTTGCTTCATTGGTATTCAACTAGGATATTAGCATTGTTAAATATGGTTCTTGGGTTGCTCTTTAGTAATTAGTGTTTTGTCTGGGTTGTTCAATGAGTTATGAATGGTTAGTTAAGCCAGTAATGTCTTATGGGAGGATAATATCTTAGGTTAGAGCCTGTTAATATAGCAAACAGATTTCCATATTCTCTTCAATAAAATCATTTGATCGAGCAATAATAATTATTTAATGATTTAAAATTTAAATTAATATTTAATTAAATATTATTTAGAAATTTTTATTATACTAATTTGTAATTTAATTTATATTTTAGCAATCAAGTATTATTTTTTAAAATGAGTTCTCTATATTCGTGTAGCTCATACAAGGTAAATAGTTAGTAACTTATTATTTCTTCTTACAAATTCTTTCATTTAGTCTTTTACCATGGTCTTTGACAATCAGTGATTATCAATCTGTTTGCTCAGAAAAAAAATTTGATTCAAAAAAAATAAATTACAAAAACAAATATATAAATCTATATTGATATTAACTGAAAGATTAACTGCAAGCAGCCTTATATACAATTAATATATTGTAACATAAATATTGGTTAGAATTATTATTTTATTTATATCAATACTAAAGTATCATTACTTTTATCTAATCCTATATTGAACAACACAAAAATAGTTGGATTTCTATTAAATGATCCAGTTGATTCATAGGTAAGCATAAAAATTATTTGTATTGCATTCAATT